GCCAACCACAAGCCCTGCACCGCATGCCAGAACTAGTCAGACACATTTGCTCTCCAATATCCCCATTCATTCGTTCACTGCTCGTCCTCCTTATCACCTGACATCAACATCTTTCTTCTGGCCCAGCGAAGCAGTGTCTGCCTGCAAATTTAGGATCAATACAGTTACACATACACTAGAGTATCTTGTAACGGGGAGAGCATGTAATTTTCTTTTTTGATCCAATGGAGAGAGAGAGAGAGAGAGAGAGAGAGAGAGAGAGAGAGAGAGAGAGAGAGAGAGAGCATATAAATGCAAGGCAATGCACCCATGCAAAAATGCCCTATATATAGTAGTCATTAATCCTGCCATTTTAAATTTCTAAGATACGCTAGCTACAGTACATCAAAATTTTAAGGGGCCGCTCCAAATTTGAGGGGCGGCATGATTATGTTGTTGAAATCCTTTCAACATTCTGGTTGATAGCTGCTAGCAACAGGGGATAGGATCCCATTTCTCTGTCGCCTCCTACGTACTAATCAACTTGTTCGCACATGAACACCTCACTATGTACCCTCGACGCCGATGGTGATACACCGCAGCTCACGTGAAAGGAGACCTGGCCGGAAGCCCGGTACACAAGCAATCTGGCGGGCGCTTTTGTAGACCCGAAACCCCGCACGCCCGGGAGGGACCCGTCAGGGCACGCAGCGGCTATGGGTTGACCTAGGTCGATCTGGTCCCCCCTAGGACCTCGTGGATCACTGCCCTCCTTCACAAAGAACGAATGAAGAACGAGAAAGAAGAAGAACAAGGAAGAGAGATAAAAAGTAGATGAACACGAAAAAGTAGTAGATTGATTTATTCGATTGTTTCTTGTTCAATCGGCCGTCACCTCTTGTCTATTTGAGGCGGCCGGACTTCCCATACAATAAAAGATGTTCATGTCGAGAATACGTAACATTTTCATATAGATCACTTCTTCATTTGAGGACATCTTAATTGGGTTTTTGACCATGGCAAAATCTGGTGTCAACACATACCTCCCTGTTTTTCGGCAAAGCTTGTGTACCGAAAAATAACTTGCACAGAGTTTATTCTAAGCACGATGTCAACACTCCATCAGCCATTTTTCTTATTCTTTAGGATGACAGATATATATATCATCCATCTATACTCTTAGGGCGATAATTGTGTATCGGTCATTAGCAAAAAAAGTGAAGCTAAGCGAATGTATGATGATGTGGTAATACCCTTGCATGATGTAAGAAATTATATTGCATCCATGGATCAAAATAAGCCCATGGAGGGTAACCGATCATGTCTGGGGATGAATTCCATGGCAAAGATATCAATGACATGTTTGACGAATATGGATGATGTGCTAATCGAAGATTTTGATAAGGTGATGGAAACCTTTGGTTGAATTTTTTACTGCTTTCATTCTTCTCTTTCTTCGTTTTTGTTGTACTTGTTGCAACAGAAGCTTGCACATCATTTTTGTTTTAATTACCCCCTTTGGGAACCCACGCCATGTTCTTCTTTTTCAGCTCTTGTGCACCGAGCTTTTGTAATTCCCTCTTTTGCCAATATGATAAGCCGAGTGGGCACCTCAGCTGTGATTCTATTTCGATCAATGGTAATTCTTTTTTGGTCTTGTGCACTCTCAACTTATTTTCTTCATAGTTGGCATTTGATCGACTCATGTCATTGTCTCTAGTAGCCAATGTCAACACTTTAATTGGCTCCTTTTCATTTGAGATCAAATCTGAAGTAGCGCCCTTACGACCATCTCCTTTCACGCGGTAAACTTGTTTGACCACCTCTTTCTTCTCCCTTAAGCTCTGGACCAATTCTTTGTAATTGAAATGGTCTTTGACATGTGATTGTTCAAATGTTGATCTTTTTGGAGCTGCATAATATTGGTGAGATGGTCTAAAATAAAATGGAGAATGTGCCATTGTATCATACATGTACCACGATTGATATCGATCTACATAAGCGTAGGGAGGCATCCACATCATTGTTATTGGCGTCCCAAAATAAGGATATGAATCTGTTGCATTAAAATTCTCACTTTTCCAATACTGGTCCTCATATTCGCGCCATGGGGGTGATCTTGGTTTCTTCGCATGATTTGGTCGATAAGCATTCTTCTCTTCAGTCTTCTTTTTATATTTATCCAATAATTCAGCGAAGGTGATTTTTTATCTCTTATATTTGCGCTTATTTCGGCCTTCCTTTTCTTTTGGTTTGCTTTCATTGATCATTGGATTTACTTGCTGCCCCTCAGGCCTTGGTGTCTTCATTGTAGCTCTGATGAAATTCTTGCCCTCAAGATTATATTTATTGTGCTCTGCCACAACTTCTTTACTTCAAAGCTTGATCCCGTCACTTGTAGTTTTTACCTTCTCTTTAAATTGATCGGCTTGAAGCAACTGATGCAAAAAGTTTTTGCCATCAGGACCAATCGGAATAGACTGGTCATTCTTTGGTCTTTCAACAAATTTCAGTTGTCTTTTATCAATGGCCTATTTAACTATTTTATGAAACATACAGCAATCCTCGAAATTATGTTTGAAATACTGATGCAACCTACAACACGTTTGTCCTTGGATTGATGACTTGACATGGTGATCAAGAATTCTAATGTAATTATTTTTCAGCAACAACTCAAATATTTGATCATACACATGCTTAAATTGAAGCTATTTTTTATTTTCTAGTTGATCTGGGTTGTGAGATCGGCTTTGGAACTAAGCACTTGAATGGTTCAGATTTGACATCATTTCATTCGACTATGAATTTTCTTTCACATTCTTTTCGCCAAGACATTGGATAAGATATTATACTAGCATCGATATTCTCAATAAAATTTAACCTTGGTTTTAAATTTTTGAAACAAAGATAGTTACAATATACATGTCTCAATTGAGACCAAGTGTAAGCCAAGTAAGAAATAGGAAAAACTAAACAATTAGATATGAACTTCAGAGAAAGCAACGGGGAAAACTGTGGCTGCAATAATAAGTCACTATCGGTCTTTATAAATGGCGCAATGGGTTGATCGATATGCTCTATAACAATTTTATTGCTACCAAGTACATTACCCTTCTTCATTGGGCTTTCAAAGTTACATATGAGAATATGTCTAATAGATGCATCTAGGGCTGGAAAAAAAGCTCGAAGCTCGCGAGCTAAATGAGTAGCTCGTGACTCCGCTTGAATCGACTCGAACTCGAAGAATAACGAGTCGAGCCAAGCTTTAGTTTAAGATCGTTTATAGAGCGAGTTAAACGAGCCAATCTCACGAGTACTCATGTAACTCGTTAGGCTCGGTACAAAAGATCGGCCAAGCACCCTGCGCCCCAGGCACACAACACAACGCCTAGATGTTCAAGGAAATTACAATTATTTAGTCATGTAAATGTTACTAACTTGATGATCATTATTGTCATGTACAATTAGTTGTGGTCAATGGTCTTGTACATGGTACTTACTTGATGGTACTGACAATTGTAAGTTAAGCTGGTACATTCTTACACTTGTTTGTGACATTGTACATGTTTAATATGTACTCCTCTGTAAACTAATATAAGAGCGTTTAGATCATTAAAATAGTGATCTAAATCTAAAAATAGGTAAATTACTCGCATCATGTTTTCACCCGGATCTGTCCCAAGTAATCCAGCCGCCTAGATCCGGTGACCATCCACAACAGCACTACCGGCGCTCGTCACCGTCTCTGACCCAAACCAATCCGGAGACAAAGGCACCAGATCGCCGGCGCAGATTCGCCTTGGACAGGGACAACACCACGCTATGCCGCTGCGGCCAGCCCGAGCTTCACCTGTCGCCACCTTTCAGGGCCGCCGCCCCGGGATCCAGGCCGAACGTCGCCTCCGCCACCGGCCACGTTCCGCCGCCGCCGGATCGAAGAGCCGCCGGCCACCGCGGCAATGGCTGTCGTGACCACGCGGACGCGCCCAGCGGCCCGAACCACCCAAACTCTCACGTCGCCTGCAGCTCCGCCGCCTCCGCCCACCACCACGCGGCCGCCTTGCGTCATCTCGCCGGAGGCAAGTCGCGGCGACCCAGATCCGGGAGAGGCGCCCCGGCACCGATGGGTGACCTGCCTCACCCGATCCGGATGCGGGATGGAAGTGGACCTCCGCCGCCGCCGTCGGCCGGCCGGGGCTTTGCCCGGCAGTTTCATCCAGCGGTGGAGATTGCCTGGCGGCGGCGCGGTTGAGATCTCCGGCTGAGTCGCCCTAGCAGGGGGTGACGCAGGGGTCTCAGGTGCAATAAAAGTGTGTATCTACCGATTTGCCAGAATACTTCTTCGGTAGAAAAACGCTAGCTAGCTAGGCACCCCACGCCCACGGACACATAAACACTGAAATTGTATGGACGTGGCTTGCTGGGAGCGCGTATGTATGCTGACTGAGACTGACGGCCATGTATATATGCAGGTTAATTAATTATTCTTTATTCTGAGGATAACAAGAAAAAAAAAATAGCTAGGTGGCCCTTTTGCATATATATATATACACGTTACTACTCCCTCCGTTCCTAAATATTTGTTTTTCTAGAGATTTCAACAAGTGACTACATACAGGGCAAATTTGAGTGAATCTACACTCTAAAATAAGTCTACATACATTCGTATGTTGCGTTCATTTGAAATGCCTAGAAAGACAAATATTTCGGAACAGAGGGAGTAGATGAAAACTGCTAAAGTGACTGACCTTAACTAATTGGCATCAACTAATTATGCAGAGGATTAATGCAGACACCATCGAAATAACCACTTCCTGAAGGTCGCTGAGAACATTATCAATGAGCTGAATTCTTGGAGAATCGCTGGATTCAAAGGAGCACAATGGACAGGCGCGAGATAATTTCTTTCTTTCTTTCTTTCTTTTTCTAGTGTACATTTGTATAGCTTTTCCTTCCCCTTTCTGGCCTTCAGCCGTCCTGAACCTTGACCTGTATTTCTTGGGGTGTCTCATCCTATCTTAATGAATGAAATCAGCACAATGCTGTTTTTCGTCAAAAAGATAGTCCCTTATCTAGAGGATACAAGCAGTACTGCACACAAGGCCATCTATTTTGATGGATGTGAAGGGCTGGCTGCTTCGGCGGTGCTTAGAGCCATAGCTGAACACCCTCCACCATCTCTGTTGAAGAAATTCGACAAGATCATTCACATCGACTGCTCTAGGTGGAAAAGTAGAAGAGCACTCCAGAAGACAATCGCACAAGAACTGAAGCTTCCTCGGCGGGTAATGGATATTTTTGATGGGCAAGATGAAGAAGATGATTTCAGAGGGGTAGATGAAACCTCCAGAGCTGAGATTGGAGTCATTGGGAGGGAGATTCATCGAGCCCTACAAGAACACATATGCTTAGTGGTCTTCCATAATGGCAGCAACAACATGGTTGAATTGACTAATTTTGGCATTCCTCCACCACAAATGTTCGATGTTAAGACATTATGGTCCTTTCGAGGGAGGCTTCGGCTCAACCCAAAACTTAGAGAGAAGGTGGATAATTCACATCTTATCCTTTACGATGTGTGGAGCACTTATGGGTGGAATTATTTGCTGAAAGATGAGGCTAGAGAAATTGCTGGGTACACGGATAATCTTGGTGAAGCGGTTGAACAGTGTTGCTTGTATCTGCTGTCATTAAATTCTCAAGGAGGCAATATATTGGACTACAACTGGGCCACCCATGCTTCTAGCTACTGGGTCTGTGATGGGATTATACAAGGAGGCCATGGTGACGAAGCATGGGAGGCTGCAGCTGCTCTGCATCAACACATAAATATAGAGGATTATTCGTCTAATGCACTGCCCTCTTTTGGTCATGAACTCAAGACTCCTCCTAAACGGTGGATATTTTCCAAAGAGAGCTCTGTTGTGCATCCAGAGTCAACGTCGTTTTTCCTTGCTGCAGTCACAAGTGGATCCGATCCTACATTAAGACTCTTACCCGATGACATGTTTCATCAATCGGACAAACTTCGGGTGCTCAAGTTATGTCATTGCACCTTCAGTTTTTCTGCACCTCCTTTTTGTTGTTGCCACAACTTAAGGTTACTTGGATTAGATGGCTGCAAGGATCAGCGAGCAGAAGAAGATGAGAAGCAAGATAGACCAACAATGGAATTTTTTCAGAGCCTATGGGTACTAGACATATGCCACACAGATTGGGAGTTGGACTTGTCAGCAGACATAATAGAACAGATGGCTGCAAACATTAGGGAGGTACATATAAAGAAAGGAAGGATTTGGTGCCACAGTTTTGCATGGCGACAATTGCATAACCTTCACAAGCTTCGAGTAATTGAGCCTACAAGCCCTTGGCAGACAGGCGAAATGGATGAACTCACAGACATGGTTAAGTTGGAGTTCCTTGACTTGACTGGGGATAGTACAATTCAAGTTTTGCCAAGTATGTCAGGGGCAACTAGTCTCAAGATTTTAGTTCTTGATGGTTGTGTTGGATTGGAACATGTTGGCCCTGAAGGACTGCCACCCTCACTTGAATCCTTCAGCTTGGATGCACGTGCCAGAGAGGGTCATAAAAAGGAGGCCAAAATCACCCGTATCTCGTTGGCTGGTTGCGCAAGATTGTTGAACTTCAGATTGTGTGGTTCACTTCCAAATCTTGAGGACATAGATCTATCATGCACATTGGTAAAAACACTAGACCTGGAAGATCAGGTGGTGCAGGCTCGAAGACTCCAAAAAATTATTCTATTGGGATGTATGCAGCTCCTTTCCATTCTATGGCCAGAAAATGGGATGCCAAAAGATACAGTTTTAAGTATTGATTCTTCAGTCTGCCATGTCCAAGTAGAACCTCATCAAGCATATGCTACTATAGTGGACATAAGGTTTCTTCAGACCTTGGTATTAGAGAGTAATGTTGACTTCTGTTGGAAGAGTGCAAGTTTCCATTTGAAGCTATGTGTCCCAGCTTGTAGCAACAAAGTTGAGGGGCAAAGAAACAAGGAGAATACTGCCACTGGTAGTATTGGGCAGATAATGGGTCCTCCTCGACCAAAGTCAATAATACCCGGTGCTTACATCACGTACATGGATGTCGCTGCTGACAACATGATTGTTGATGATGGCTATAATAGTGCACTGCAGTTTCAGCCGTTGGGCTCCCATGTGGAGATTGGTGATGGAATTAGTTTCACTAGAATGGAGAGCACACGAGCAATGAAGGCTACCATCTTTGTGATGAACAAGGCGGAGTCGTTGCATGCGCACAACAATTCTTTCATTAATACTGTCATCCCTGAACATATGATGTCCATAGAAAGTAATGTACTTACATGGAAAAATCTGAAATCTTGTCACGTGGTGAGATGCCCAAAGATGCATACGGTCTTCAATATTGATCGGGGGTATTACTACTTTGAAGAACTGGTGAACTTTTTGGCAGCAGATCTCCTGATGACCCATTGCATTTGGAGCAAAGAAATCACGCATGATTTTCAAGACAGTCGTTCCTTTGCGAAACTGCAGAGCATACACCTGTTCTCCTGCCCGAGGCTCACATTTGTCCTCCAGTGGTACAGGTTATACATCTTGAGTAGCTTGGAGACCCTCCACATCACCTTCTGTGGTGATCTAAGGCAGGTGTTCCCCGTGGAGCCAGAGATACTAACAAGAATTACTACAAGCCACCATGAAGGTCTACTGGTATTCCCAAACCTGAAGCATGTCTACTTGCATCAGCTCTTCAAGCTGCAACATATATGTGAAGCCAAGATGTTTGCTCCCAAGATGGAGACCATCAGGGTCAGGGGATGCTGGGGTTTGAGGCGGCTCCCGGCTGTCGGCCGAGACAGCCGTCCAGTTGTGGACTGCGAGAAGGACTGGTGGGAAAAGCTGGAGTGGGACGGGCTAGAGGCTGGCCATGACCCTTCGCTCTTTGAGCCACGTCACTCGGCGTACTACAAGAAGCCCCTGCCTAGAGGATCAGTTCTCTGGTGAGCTGAACAAGCTGTTCAGGTACACATCCGCAAGTCTTTCCTTTGTTTCTATATATCTTTTCTAGTTCATGTGCCGTATTTGGTAACAATTGTAGATAGGTGCATTTGTGCTATGTAATATCTGAAGAAGCGCGAATATATATAATACGTACACATGTATGTGTATGTTTGATCTACTCCTTTATGCATTTCACAGTGATGGAACCATTTGTTTGGGCCTTCACTGTGCTGTGTAGGCTTGATTGATGGATGGCGGCAGAGCCTATGACGACGGCCCGGCGTCTCGCTACTTTCCACCGTTTCCACCGTGCAAGCCAAATCGGATGTGTTGCTTCCCGGGAGGTGGTTGTGCCTGTGTTTCCTTGCTGAAGAATAAAGTGGTGCTGTCTTGCTTGCTTGATGCTGCACCTTGCATGCATGCTTAGTCGATCGTTTTGTGTGTGTCTCCGTTCTCAAGACTTATGTATCATTGTTTTGTTGGTGTGGTTTGTTTTCTGCTCATGTGTGTGCTGCCTGAGTATGCCGCTCAGATCCGAGTTTGCAATGTGTGTTGTCATTCGATCAGATTCAGTACATCAGCATGCATGTGTACGTATGCTGGACTGAGAATGCCAAAAGATCTTGGTGTGATGTACTACATGCCAAAAGAACTGAGTACGTATTTATTTATTTGGTTCCATTACCTAGAGATTGGTCTCAATCTCCTTTCCTTGCAATCGATCGCCGTCTTCCTATTTTCACAGATAATCTGCATCTTTCATAATCCTGATCGCTGTACCGGATCGCTAGCCTAGCTCCTCCTTAACCTGATCGCTAGGGCCTAGTATGCATCTCCTGCTCCTGTTATCAATGATCCAATATTGGGTTGGGTCTCCATAGTACCCATAAGCGGTTGATAATTGATCAATATTATATGAGATTCGTCTTTTTGTGTGTTCGATGTGATAAGCGGTAAGATTTTATTGAGTTAATTTGTCCAGTAGATTTGTAACTCCGTACTAGTTTTTGAATTATATTTTTTTCCTCAAATTTCATCACTTTTATCTCATCCAAAAAATTATGCATCTAGAAATATTAGAAGAAAAAAATGAAGGTAGTATGTATAAATTATACGAATATCCTTTTAGATGCATTTTAGTGTTTTTTTTTGTAACATTTCATTTAAACATAACACACACATTAATTATTATTTATATATATATATATTACAGGGCCAGGGTTATAGTTTCGCCCTGGGCCCCCGGAATCTCAGGACCTGCCCTGCCTGAGATATGGGAAGACACACTTGAGCAGGTCGACATTTTCGTCATGGGCATCGGCAGCAGCGGTACCATCACCGAAGTCGGCAAGTATCTCAAGGAGAAGAACCCCAATCGCATGTGTGCAATCGAGTATGTCAGCCTGTGTGCTCTTCCCTTCTGTTAGGATTAATTAACACTAGAAGCAGTCGCATGTGTTGTTGCGCGGTTTTGTTTCTAGTGCTTTTCCATTGGCCATCCACAAGATCAAAAAGAGTTAGCGTGCTTTGTTAGTCATTGAACTGTTACAATGACTAGTAGGATACCCGTGCGATGCTACGGGCCACAATGCATATAAATGAAACAAATAAATGATTAAGATCGTTTCTAAGGTCGAGGCTCATTTCACTATCATACGTCTATGTGTGTTCAGACAGCAAACTCGCGCCCAGACTCCCCAAAATCCAACTATCTGGACAATCCAAACTCCTCCAAATCCAGCTCATATGTTCTGGAGAAATGTGGTTAACTGGACAATCCGTCACATTATCTCCAACACGCGGTATCACAAAAACCGCACCTCACGTTGCACCCTTTCATTTCCGTGTCAGACCCTCTTTTTTAGATAAAAGGCCAGAGCCCGACTTTATAAATAAAGCCACCAGGCAGAGTTAATACAGACCCAATAGACCAACACGAGAACAGGCAAAGTATCAACCCAGACAAAACGAGAGAATAGTCTAAGTACATGGCTCCCAGGCCAGTACACGGCTCGCGGGCCGGAGATAGAGAGATAACGAAAGCCGACCACCAGCGACTAAGTGCCTGCTTGAACTGGGGAGATGGAGATAGCAGAATTTCGGATCTTGGCCAACATGGCGTCGAGGGTGTCCCTGTCTTCCTCCTTAGCCAATGATCTCCACTGCTGCAGGAATATACAGGTCTTAAATAAGCAATCAACAGGCTTAGCAGGGAAAACATGTTCGATGGTAAATTTATTCCTTGTCGTCCAAAGGGACCAGCACATGGCTGCGAAGCCCACCCAAAACAATCTCCTCTGGGCCCCAACCAAAGAGTTAACCAAGATGCGCAGGTCAGAGCCCAGGAAAGACGCAACCAGGATCTGATACAACACCAAAACAGATTAGCCAACACACAATTGAAGAAGATATGTGACGTGTCTTCTCTCATACCACATAAAGCACACCTATCAGATCTCGGGCCATTACGCTTTCGAATTTGGTCACCCGTCGGCAGACGCCCACGAGAGGCTTGCCAGAGGAAAACCTTGACCTTAGGAGGGATACGAGCCCTCCAGATCCAATTGAATTTGGAGGTGGTGGACCCAGCAATGAGCTTACCATAAAGGGATTTAACCGAGAAGCGAGCAGAGGGGGAGTGAGGCCAGACAACCATGTCTTCCTCCTCCGAGAGCGAAGGGAAGAAAGCAACAAGACGCTGCCAGTCTTCCAACTCTGCAGGAGAGAGAGAACGACGCAGACGCAGGTCCCAATTATTCGACGCGAGCTCAGAGATTGAGATCTCAGGGTCCGGGCAGTAAGAAAAAAGAACAAGAAAGGCAGTCGCCAGCGAAGAAGAGCCACACCACCAATCTAGCCAAAACCTGGTGGACCTACCATTGTGAACAACGAATTTGACGAGGCCTTGAAAGATTGGCCTGAGCTTAACAAGATTTCTCCAGAATTGAGATGCCCCCGAGGCCCGAGCAAACATTGGGCTAGAAGAGGGGAAGTACTTTGCTTTGAGAATGTTGAACCAGAGGGGCTTATCCTGGGGAATGGTCATGATCTTCCACCACCATTTGATAATCAGACATTTGTTCATAACAAGAGTGTTAATAATGCCCAGCCCCCCAAGGCTTTTTGGCTTACAAATATGGTCCCATTTGACCAAGCAATATTTGCGCTTGTTATCAGCCGCATTCCAATAAAAGGCACCTCTATGTTTATCAAAGCCAGCATGGGTTCCCATAGATAGAAGGTAAAAGCCCATCAAGAACATGGGTAGAGATGAGAGGCACACATTAATCAAGGCCACTTTACCCGCCTGAGTGTTGTATCTGCCCCTCCAGGGCATTACATGATTACCCACCTTGGCCACCGTAGGGGCAAAATATTTAGCAAGGAGCTTGCCAGAGGTGATAGGTAAACCCAAATACTTAATAGGGAACAAGCCAAGAGAGCAGTTCAAGAGGCGGGCCACCCGTAAGGCCTCGGTACCCGGCACACCAGTGACAATAACTTCACTTTTGGAGAAGTTGATCTTAAGACCCGAGAGAGCTTCGAAGCAAAGGAGCAGAAATTTGAGATGGGCAATGCAGTGGTCATTCAGTTCCACCAGAATAATAGTATCGTCTGCATACTGGAGGTGAGTAATACCCTCCGGGATGAGGTGTGAGCTAACAGGAGAGATATGGCCGGCCTCTGCGGCCCTAGATAGGATATTAGAAAGAGCGTCCGCCACAAAGTTAAAGAGGATGGGCGAGACCGGGTCGCCTTGCCGGAGGCCTCTAGAGTTCTTAAAGAAATTACTAACTTTACCATTGACATTAATGGCAGTGTGGCCCCCCATGACCAACTGCATAATACGGTGAACCACCCCACTATCAAAGCCTTTAGCCAGTAATACTAGTTTAAGGAAGCCCCAACTCACCGAATCATAGGCCTTTTCAAAATCCAATTTTAAAATAACAGCCTTGTTGCCTGATTTATGGATGTCATGGATAATTTCATGCAGGCAGAGGACCCCATCCAGGATGAAGCGACCCTTGAAAAAAGCCGACTGAGTAGGGGAGAGGGTCCGATGAGCCACCGGGGTAAGGCGAGTGGCCAGACACTTGGCAGGGAATTTGGCGAAGTTATTAATCAGCACAATAGGTCTAAACTGAGAAATGAGTTCGGCACCCTTAATTTTAGGGATCAGGGAAATGACCGTATAGTTGAGCCTGGATATATCTACTGTCCCCAGACAGTAGCCTTGAATGACTGCACATATAAGCTCTTTAAGAATAGTCCAGAATTTTTTAAAGAAGGGGATAGAAAAGCCGTCCGGGCCCGAGGCAGAGTTAGGGTTCGATTTAGAGATCGAAGAGAAGATCTCCTCTTGAGAGTAAGGAATCATCATATCAGTATTTTCTTCCGAGGAAACCAAGACCCCCTGGTCCCAGAAATTAGAAGATAGCCTGAACCCCTAGTCAGGTTTGGCAGAGAGGAGAGAGGAAAAAAATGCCACAGCATGGTTTAGGATGGCGCCTTGGTCAGAAGACCGCACCCTGTCAATAATCAGGCTATCAATAAGACATCTACGCCGCCTCCCATTCGCAATAGCAAAAAATTAAGCAGTGGGGGAATCACCTTTAAGCATCCAATTAATCGAGCCCCTCTAGCGCCAATAAATCTCATTAAGGCGGTGAATCTGCACCAGAGAGCGTTCAAGGGAGAAGCGAAGGGTCCAGTCAGAATCGGAAAGGCCAGAGACGTCAGCCTGAGAGTCAGGGGCTGTTAGAATACATTGTATGTATATACGGTTGTGTATATAAAACCGTATATACGGTCGGTGTTGCGTGCGTTACTATTGTATCCCGGTGATTAGGTTTAAAGCCTTGATCCTTATCTTGTAGTTAGCTAACTTGAGGATCAAGTCTAAACCAACTACCGGATTCTGTAAACCCTAGCCTTTGGCTATATATAACACGCAACGCGTCCCTGCTAGGCATACGCTTCAAGCCATCTTTCATGGTATT